AAAATCAGGCATAAATTTCTTTCTGATGCTTTTTGGAAAAGTCAGACGTAGACTGTTTCCGGTACCTTTTCTAGTTGAAGTCGGGCGTAAACATCTTTTAGTTCGGATGATATCAGGCATAAATTTCTTTCTAATGCTCTTTTTTGAAAAGTCAGACGTAGACTCTTTCCGGTACCTCTCCTAGTTGAAGTCGGGCGTAGACATCTTCTAGTTCGGATGAAATCAGGCGTATATTTCTTTCTGATGCTCTTTTTGGAAATGTCAGGTGTAGACTCTTTACGGTACCTTTTCTAGTTGAAGTCAGGCGTAGACATCTTCTGGTTCAGATAAAATTGAGTGTAGATTTATTCTGATTATTCTTTTGGACAAAGTAGGGCGTAGACTCTTTCCAGTACCTTTTCTAGTTGAAGTCGGGCGTAGACATCTTCTAGTTCAGATGAAATCGAGCGTAGATTTATTCTTATTATTCTTTTAGGCAAAGTCAGGCGTAGACTCGTTCTAAATACATCTTCTAAGACAAATTCGAGCGTAGACTTAGTCTGATTTTTTATCAACAATTATCGTGGATGGCATCTATAAGCCCATCTCCGACGACTCTCCGTCACCTCTCCAAATAGCATCTGTAAGCCCATTCCCGATTTAATCATCCAACAGTGTTACTTTGGTGCACATGCGAGTGCAAAAATGATCAAAAGATAAATTGTAGAAGACATCTTGAGCTTTCCAAAAAGTCCAAGATTACCTTCAAAATATAAAAATTGAGAGAGTTATGACCAGTGCATGTTGGCAAATTTTGAGAAAATGCATGAAGTGCAAAGTGATCAAACTTGAAATTTTAGACTAATGGGCCAAACTTTTGATGTTCAAACATGTTCACAATGTGTTATAGAACCTTTAAATCCATTTACACATTTTTTATGATTTTTATTTCTTTTATTTTAATTTTTATTTATTTAAATGCAAGTAAATCAAATAAAATATAAAATCAATTGACCTAGTCACGTGGGCTTGTTTTTTGGATCAGTTCAGGCCTAAGACAACTCATGATAGCTAGAAAAATCGTGTGAGCTCATATGGCAAGGTTTTCTCCAAATGGAATTTTATAAATATGTTTGATTCTTGTCTAATATTTGCCATGATTGCATTATCTTATGCCATATTTGTTCACCCTAATCCTTCCTCTATATAAGCACAACAAGACCAGATGCAATGACCACGCATCCTTGCCTCTAAAAGCTTGACAAAATTCTTAATTTTTTTCAAAACCCTCGAGTCTCAAAAACTTGTGTTACAAGCTCTCTCATTCCAAATCTTCACTCCAATCACTCCCATGAACACTGAAGGGTAGGTTTGGATTTGTTTCTATGATCCTAAGCATGCGAAACTGTACATCATAGCATAACCGATTTGCATTTTTTTGCATATTTGTATCTTTGATTTTATCTTGTTTGAAACAGATTTGATGCTACTAACGAGTTTATGAGACATGATTGGACAGGTTTGGATCAACATAGTGATCCCATGCAGTCAAAATTATGAGATGCCATAGTTGCTCGATTGGTTTCGTGTGGTTCGAATCTCACAATACATGAACTTTTGGCCAAAACTAAGCCTATATTTGAACTCAGGGGGGATCGAATTAGGGGTACTAGGATCTTTTTTATCACTAACATGTTGAATTCACAGGTTCTTCATTTTACAGGTCGCCGAAGAAGACGGCCGGAGCTAGGGCTCCGGCACCTCTCCAACCATTAGCATCAGGCTTCATATATATTTTTATTATTTGATTAAAGCTAACGGATGTAAAGACCACCCCAGTGGGAGCGCACTTAACCTTAAGATTCTCTTATGCTTGTGCCTGGATTTGATCTAGGCATGGGACATTTTTTTTTATGTTTTGTGATTCTTACAGGTCCAATGCAAGCAGGCCTAGCGCGCACCACGAACTCTCATGTCACAACCATCAGATCTCAATAGATCAGATCCACCGCCCAAGATTCACAAACATATCATAGAACCCTTGGAGAGTAACACACTGGATCACACGCTAATGCTGGGCTGTTGTTAATGGGCCTACTGATTTATATTTTTCACACCCCCCAGATTCACTTCTACAGGCCCATCATCATTTTTTATATATTTTTGTTTCAATATTTTTTATTTATTTAATATAATTATTTTTTTAAATTAATTAAAATCAAAATTAACTTGACTTTTTTTAATTAAATTAACCTTTTTTTTAAATTAATTGAAATAATTAACCTAGTTTCTATAGGATTTTTATCATTAAATATTTTTTTTCAAATAACCAATTTCTTTTCTAAACTAAAATCAATTAGGTTAGGTTAGTCATCGAATTTCTTTTATCAAAACCGATCACAAAGAGAAAATATTTCTCCGTTTCTTTTTACTTTTATAATCTTCGCGCATGCCTTTACTTTCGCATTAGTTTTTACAATAATGTATCTGCTAAAGTTTGTAATAGTTAATTAGATTATTTTTACCGCATTCTTTCTTTCCCCAATTTTTATAGTTTGTACCCCCTCCCCTGAAGTCCTGTAATAGTTTAGATTTCTTTTCCGTATTTTACCGCTTTTCTTATAACTGTTAGATGTATGCTAATATGGTTTGTATGACAAGATCTAAAATAAAATGCTAGATAACCCTAATATGCAAGATAAATTAATTGAAAATAGAACACTATTCACACATGCACCTCTAGAGTGACTCCACTTATTGCCTTCGGATAAAACAGTTATGTCCCTCGAAGTGGAACGCTTTAGCAATGACCCTCGGATAAAAGATCGTAGTCCCTCGATGACCCTTTCATGCTGCCTCGGTAAACGATATTAGTCCCTTACGATAAGTTGCTAAAGTGTCCTACAAGTTGCCTTTATGACTGTACGATGACTCGTGTCTGTCCCTCAAAACGTCCAATGATAGAACTTCCTACTAACTAATGGTAGGATAACACTATCTAAAGAAAGAGGAAAATAACGTAAAATACTTTTGAGTAGGTAGATAGCTCGTAGTCGCTTGCTCACAAACGAAAACATTTTTCACACAAAATACTTTTTTTCTAACATATTTTCGAAACAAACATTTTGTATGCGTTCTCAACGATACGAGAATCATTACAAAGTTTATCGCACTTAGCCATTTTCAAAATATTTTCAAACACAACACAACATTTTCAAAAGTGAGCTAGCGGTTAAGAGTCCGTAGATAACTATGGATGAAAAAGGTGCTAACACATTCCCTTTTCACAACCTATCCCCCGAACTCAGAAAAATTCTCAAAGGTCTTTTCTGTTTTTTTTCACCATTTCCTTTATTGGATAAAAGAAAAATTGGTGGCGACTGTTGCTATCCGCAACATTTACGATAAAACGTAAAACCAAAAGTCAGTTCTTCCATCGTATTACAACTATGATTAGCTTATGTTCGACAACTTGAATTATAGAGAGTATGTTGAGATATAAGATATAATCCAAATTAAGTAGTCAATGCTCAATTATAGTTTGCTAGCGTACTTAGTGTACAAGTTAGTTATATATAAATAAAAATAATTTAAAATTCAGTTTGTACAAATCAATTCGATAATATAATTTTTATTTTCTTATTTTTTCTCTTCTTTTCTCACTAAAGTGTCTCGTGTACTAACATCATTCACATGAAACAAATAATTATAAGTTTCGATCTTAAATAAAATATTACCGAAAAAAAAAGGTTTAATAATATTACAATTTCAATTATCATTGCAATTTTTAGTCAATCAACTTCGTCGTTGATGTGAACACATGCCCAAATCTTATAAATAAATTACACTTTTCTTTACCACTCTCACACAAACACTGTCAAGCAACCATACCAATAAATAACTAAGACATAGCTATTATTCTTAAAAACCTCTCTCATGTTCGGATTTATTCATTTTAAGGAGAGATAAATCTGATTTGCTCAAACTTTTTCATTTAGATACATGAAATTTGTTTAGATTGTTAACTCCAAAAAAATATATACTTCATCACTCACTAATATAAACAAATTTCATTTTTTAATTATTAACAACCGACTTAAATATGAAATTTTAATTATAAAAAAAAAAAATTTAAAATAGCATTGCAATTTTAATCCCTCTATTATATTTATTTATCATTTTAGTCTCTCCATTTTAAAAATCGATTTTTGTAATCTCTTTGATTTATTTATTTATTAAATAATTTAAGTCCCCTTTCATTTTATCACGTCAACAAATGGCTCACAACTATGACCAACGATAAAGTTGAACAAATCAACTCTCCAATCATGAGAAGACTATTAATCGTTCAAAAAGAATCATAACAAGACAAATGATGAGTCTAAAAATATAAATAATATGTTCAAATTTCTTCAAACAAGAAAAAAGAGTAATACCTAAAGAGTAAAACCTAAAACATCAGTATTACCACAACCATATCAGTAAAAATACTCTCAAATTTAAAAAAGAACTAAAATCTTAAAAAAAACAAAATAAATAAACTATAAAACTCGGTTTTTAAAATAAAAATAAAAACCAAAATCAAAATTAAAAGATAATAGAAAAATCAAAATTACAATTAAACAAACTGTTCAAAATGTAAAAATTGTCTGTATAAAGTGGAATTAAATTTAAAAACATAAAGGAATAACATTCTTAAATCACAAATTTTCACGACCATTGAGATTTTAAGATTCAATTTAAGATTGTTTTTAAGAAAAAGAGATTGAGAGATACCTTCACTATGCTTGTAAAACTTGTATCCAAATTTCAAGTCATTATACAAGAAGAGAAAAACAAGAAAGAAAGGAATTAAGAAATAACATCATATCTTTTACCTCTTATTCATTCCAATTTGGTGATAACTTCACATAACCATTAACCACAAGACATGAAAATGATGTTTACAATCCTTAATTGTACACAAAACATTACCTTAAAACAACCAAATAAAACACAAGAAACAAACTTTGTCATGTGTTCTAAATAGCTAACACAAGTCCAGGAAGAGACCTGCGATAAAGATCACGAGGTTGACTTCTCCACAATGTCATCATACTATCATGCTTATGATGATGATCTTCTTCCCATCTCAATGGCCTCAAATCTCTCACAACAAGCCATGTATTAAAATACTCTCTAAATTGCGTAATCAACCCATTTTTCAACGTCCAAACATGAACCCAATAGGCTTGTCCTTCCCAACCTTCAACTATAACACAATCACCAATTGATGTCACACTTCTTGGCTCAAATTTGAACCCTTTTTTGTGATCGATTTCGCCAGTTAACACCTTCATCATGTGTTGACATTTTGGTGGACCATGGAACCAATACTCAAGATCACTTGCTAGCAATTTTGCTACCATTTGGAATTCCATTGCTCCTTGGCCTAATAAAGCTTTGTAGAGAATTTCAACTATGGACTTGTTTTGTGTTTCAATCATTGAATCCATTTTTTAGAGAGAATGGTTACTTTGTTGAGTTACCACTGATTTTTTGCATGGCAATGAGGGTTGGAATTTATAGGGTTAGATATGAGAGGTGGGTGTTGAAGTTTGGTGTGAATAGTTTGTTCTAGAAATGAAGCATAGACGGTTGAGATTGATTGATTTATGAGGTGAGGGATTGGATGGTAACGTTTTGATACGACAAAATGTGTCACACCAGAAATATGTATATATTAAATCATACCATATGGTACCAAGTGGGAATGCATTTATGAGGAGAAAACGATGCCAACTTGTCCATCTATGTATGTGCGTTTTAATTAGTGCCAAAGAGCAAAAATTTTGAGTTGGCATTTGAATTTCGGTTAAGCATAATTTAAACATAACAAAATTGGCTTTAAAGGTTATGAATTATGATTTACGGTACTCATAAACACATTTTATGTGCATATATGTTATTTTATATAGTATAAAAAATTTAACACGCACTCTTTCACAATTATAATATATGATGCAACATCTATAACGTGACTCAAAAAATCTAATATGAAATATGAGTGCGAAGTTCAAAATATTGATTTATACATCTAATATATAAATACTAACATGGGTTCTTTAATGTTTTAGGATGAAACATTTAAAATATGATTTGAAATTGTTTAATAACTAATGAATGAATACATTTTAGAATATTGATTTGACATAGTTTAATTCTTACAAAATGGACCTATAACCAATTATATATATGAGTTTAGGTATATTTAATTTATGTGAAACTCTTGAGTGATTTTTTAAGTATAACAAACTAAACCTTGAGATCTTTGGTTTTTAGTTGAAGGAGTCTTTTCTTTGAATCTTTAGGTATAATCTAAAAGTGCTATGAAGTTGAATTGATGTTTTTGGCATGTAGGAGGATCCTCCTTTTTTTCAGCATAGGCAACTACCTCCCAAAAGCATTTGCAAATGAGTTAGGGACAAAAATTTTGGTCTTTTTCAAAAAGTTAAATGCTTTATGGAGGTTAAGTAAACAAAAATATATAAATACAATTTTTTTGTGACACCATAACATTCATTTTATGTTTTTTTTTTTGACAAGGAAACATTCATTAGATTAAAAAACACAATTATTATAAGACACTTGAAAAAAAGTATATCCCATCCAAAGTGTAAAATTAAACTTAAAACGAAATTCTATAAAATCATAAAAGACTTTACATCTAGAATGATCACAAGATAACAAAATGTAAACAAATCAGAGGCAGAAACAACAATTAATCATTCAAGCATTAATTCGCTTCCGAACACGATTAATGGAAAAATAGAAAGGAGAATCCATAATCTTTTTTCCAATCCAGTTACGGATGATTTCTTTGACGGGTATTTGCGCATTTCGACTATCATTGGTCTTAACATAGTCCATTTGTATCAACTGTTCAGAAATTGAATGATCAGTAGAAGAAAGGTCGACATTGTTGCTCTAAGACGCAAGGAGAAAGACACAACATAACAAAAACATAAACATAAACAGAAAACACGAAATCATAAACATATAAATCTGACAGAGACAAGTTGTAGAGCATTCATGGTGGTGGTGTTGGAGTAGGACGGATCATTGCCGACATCGGATCTAAAAAAGCTCCCACACGTGATGGAGATATCTTGACTGGTGTTATCCTTGAGATGTGAAACCAACCACTACAAGATCCCCATTTTTCAGTGGTTGTGGCTCTGGTGGTGGCCGCAACAGACGGGAAAAGATGCTTCGCGGTAGTTCGAAGAGGAGGAAGAAAGTAACCCATGGGTGATTTGATTTGAGAAAGAGTATATGGATATGGTTGAAAGGAGTCTGTAGGAATCCCAAAAGAGGAGGATGTTACCACCATAGAGGTGGGATAAGGAAGCCTCCATGAAGGTGGAAGGTGGCCATGATAATGCGAAATTTTATCGAATTTTCGACTCGACTCGCAAGAATTATTTGATCGGTTTTAGCCTTTTATGTCATTTTATGTTAGTAGCGTTTCTGTATTTCAGGTGTTTTTCCTCCTTGAGGCTTGCATGAGAAAAGAAGAGGAATTGGCAAAGAAAGAGCATGAAAACATGAAGTAACAGAAGAAATAATGAAAATCTATGCACAGAAGGTTGTGGCCCTCGCCACACATGTTAAGATAACGGCCCTCGCCACGCTTCCTGTGGCCACCACCACATGTTGTTTTATAACAGAGCCATTTTTTCTCCTACCTCGGAGCCATGAGTCGATCACTTATCCTACTTTCTCTCTATAAGACCATGCATGATGAAAATATCTCCATGAACGAAATTGTTCCTAATTTTTCTCGAAGGAGTTACATGAATACAACAAGCTATAAAAGGAGGAAGAATTGTCAGTTACAGGATCGAAGAATTTTCCATTGTTCAGAGCACTTTTCTTTCTAGATTCTAAGCAGAAAAATCATAATTTTAAAGTGATAGCTTTCCACACCGGGGAGCTATTGCAACAGTAGTTTAGATCTACATTATAGTTTTTTTAATTTTATACTTTCAGAAACGAATCCTACCGACATTTGTGGAGGATCGTAAAGATTAATTTTCAAGTTGCAGTCAATTCCTTTTGTACTAGAGACTATTTCCAGGTTTTTTATACAAGCTTTATTTATATTTATGTTATAGAAATCATGTTGTATTTTATGATTAACTACTATTATAGCATGTCTGTATTCAAAACTATATCCGGCTAATTCCCTTAGATACCGGTATGTAACATAATCTAACCAAAGGGATTCGAAAACCTATCGGTATAAATATTTATAATCTACTTTCTTGTTTTTGGTTTCTAATTAAATTATTAAAATTGTTTTATTACGAAAGTAAAAGACAACTAAGGTTAAAATCAATACAACGGGAGTTTGAGATGTTTAATCGAATAGTAGTAACTGAACATTGATTCTAAATACACCGAGAGAGCTTTAGGATTAACTAGATTTTATTTGTTTCCAAAAAGTGTTTTTAAATTCAAATGAGACAACGAGAGCAAACATTTAGATTTAAGAATACAGTCTAAGTCAATAAACACGAGAGTGTGAGATAAGGATTTTTAAACTAATATTTTCTACTGAAAAGTATTTTTAAGAAAAACAAAACCAATGGTTAGTCGGATCCTTGAAGTCGGACAAATTACATATTGGTATCCCTTGTTTCAAATATTTTATTAAACTTGAATTTACTCCATATTTCCCTCAAAAACCTAAGATTAATTTTAAGCCTTAGATTACATAGTAATATTAGATAGCATTAGTTTGATTAACAGTCCCTGCGGGTTCAATATCTTTTTAGAATTAAGCGATTAGACTATGCACTTGCAGTCAGTAATTCCGATAGACTCATAAAGTCACGATCAAGTTTTTGGCATCGTTTCCAGGGACTGGTTTAGTCAATATTGTGATTCCTCTGTTACGCAGTATAGACTAATGCAACAAATTTTATTCCCTTCAATCTGTTGATTGTATACCAGACACTCACTCTCAAGGCGGAGAATTTGAGCAACCAATCAACGAGGTTGAGCATTTTGTTTGTATAAGACGCTGAATTAGAGAATACCAAATTAAGTACAATCTTCCCGAATTCAATCTTTCCAAATTATCTCTTCTTGAACCTGGACCAAGAACGGCTGAAGGACCCCAAAATCGTCCTTTGAAGGATTATGCTGCCCTGTCATAGGAGGAACCTCATGTAACGCCCGTTTATTTAATTAATTATTTAATTAAATTATTTTTAAATTATTTGTTGAAGTTATGAGATGTGGGGAATTATTGGCATAAGTTGTAGATTATTACTAGTTAATTAAGTAGTTAATTAATAATAATAATAATGTTGAAATTAATAGAATATTCGCGTTGGGCCTATTTTATTGGTTGAAAGTAGTATAGTGGGGGTGTGAAAGTTAAGCCCAATAGGATTAATGGTATAAGGTTAAGCTGACACAAGGATTTGGTTAGTTGGTGTTGGAGCGGTGTAGCGGCATGCAACAAAAGTTTTGGAAATATTTATCCAGGAATTTATCGTGTCCACAGAGATTGGTTATTGAATCGACGTTCGACAATTCATTTGTTAATGAGTTTGGGGATTAAATGGGTTTGTTTGTAAGGAAATGGTAAAAACTATTGACAAGAAAATAAATACATTAAATAGAAAGGAGAAACCTAACAGGAAAGAATTTATACTACTCGTGACAAACTTAAACCTATTGATCAGTTGCACTCAATCTATTATACTCGTCAAAATCATCACGGACACCACTAGATGTACCCACAACGAAGGTTATGTCTAATACCAAGTCGCGAGAACAACTATATTACTATATCGACAATGTCTTGCGCACTACAACAACACAGAGGCATTAAGCTTTAGCACCCAAAGTGAATATTAGATATAAATCTATCTCTAGAATCTAGAAACTAATATATATCCACCATTAATCAATATTTGTGAGGTATATGTCTATAACAACCCAAATCCAAACATAAAGCAAAAAGATCAAAGAAGACATCAAGATCGATTTGTAAAGCAAGCTTTATACAACACCATGATCAACAAATATACATATGTTTAAAGTAAATATACAAACATACCCAACAAATAGAGAAATACATAGAGAAAAAATAGAGAAAAACCAAACACCTCACGGGTTGTCAGTGTCGATTGATGAGAAATTCAACTTCGAATCATCAAGATGCAAGCTTCAATATTATTTTATAGCTTCTCAAGACCAAAAATGGAGGTTTGATGAATTGGGGCCAAAAATACCCAAAACATCACCTAAAAAAATGTGTTTTTGGCCCTAAATACGCATTTCTAACTGTCCAGGATCGCCCGGAGACCAAAAAGCATCGCCTGATGACAGTTAACAGTAAGTTGAAAAACCAGCACAACATTCTGCATTGTTTCAGTCATAACTTTTGAACCGTAACTCTGATTCGTGCCCGGTCGGAAGAGTTGGAAAGATTATTCAA